AATGTTTTTACAGCTTTACCTTTGTTACGTTATAGTCTTTAATTTAAGTCTATACATTTCTCTAATGGTAAGTCAATAGAAGTCTATCATTTTGTTCCTTATAAAATCAATATAAGTCAGCCTATCATTACGAAAAGCCTGCAATAAACAACAAAGCTGATTGTAAGCTTTGATGTTAATATTAAAGTACAAATACTGATTGATTTGTTCAAACAGTAATGTTTCAGGGACACAAAATTATCACAAACACTGTATCATAATTGACTTTGCACAGGTTCATGAAACTAGTTCTATTTGATGTGAACATTTTCATTTATAATTTTTTCTGAGATGACATTACCTTGCCTTAACGGCTTCTTAACATTTTACGCAGAAGAATTAAAAAAGAAAAAAGTTATGAATTACTAAAGGTCTGCTTAAAGAAATCATGTGGTTTTATAAAAGTGCACAGATAAACCCTGTTGGTGCTTCAGCTAAACGCAGTAAAGTTGCGATTACAAATTAAACACAATGTCGTTCTGATTCTGTAACATGAAGGACAATGAGGACTAGAAATTCAGGATTTTCCCTTTACTGGTTCCATGCATTAATTGTTCTATTCAAGCTCCTAATTAGAATCATTATTTGATTCCAAAAGGTTATCTGTGTCAAGGACATCTAATGAATCAAAATCAAATTAAATGGGAAGTCTGTTATATTACACCTGAAAAACAAATGCACAACATCTCCATTTCAAAATTTTAATATCATGGTCCTTCTAAAAGAAAGTTTCAATCGATTTTATAAATATATTGGAAGTATTTATTTTAAGAAGATGAATTTATAAGATATGCTGACATTTCGTTTTTTTAACGTTTAAATAGTATTCATTTGAATAAGGAAAGTTCCGAGAAATTCCTTATTGTATGGCACTCTGAAAATGAGGTCATGCTAATGCACTGAATGAATGAACGAAGTGCATAATCCTTAAAATGTTCAGCTATTTGGCAAAAAAAAACTAACATATTCCAAAAATGTTGATAAATTGATAAATATTAATCAATTTCTGTCATATTAGGGATTAACTTCTGTAAGGTCATTAATACGTAAATACATGAATAGTTTATGTGTATCCATAACTCCTTTGATAACAATTGCCATTCTGGACATTCGGCAGTTTTAACAACTTTCTTGTAACGCTCTTGTTAGAAATTAATCATAGGATTAATCAATGAATTAATTATTCTATTAGGGAACCTTAGCAGTTAAACGGTCAATTCTTTGATTAAATCAGCGTTTCATTTTTGCCGAAGAATTGATTCGTAATTGAAAAAAAAACTGAACTTCTCAAGATAATGTCGTTGCTTGTCGCTGCTTGTCATTTATTGTTCGCCGTTTTGGAATGATTTATGTAACAGTTTGAATTAAAGAGGCGGACATAATTCTTCTTTCCGTTTCATTCTAATGTATTTCACATTCGTAAGCTATTCAATGCATACTTTTAATATTACCAAAGTCGCTTACTTAAAATAAACGAACGATTTTTTTTCTCTTCCTGGAACGACTTAATGATTACATTTTAAGTTATTACAGTATATTTCTAAGACATATACCTATGATCGTTCTCAGATATTTTTGACAATATATTATATAGAATCATTCCACAAAAAAGCTCGGAATTTTAGAAACAGTAAATTATTAAATATAAAGTACACAAATACCGTTTGTCTTGGTAAGCTCAATCGGTGTAGGGTTGGGTTCAGTTCATGGACGGTAGAGTCAACTGTTGTTGCGAATGAACAGGCACTCTTTTCAACGGTCATTCGCACTGTACCACTGCTGTGACATGCACAGAAGTTATTGGAAGTTTCTTGCAAAAGTTTAAGTATCTAGTACGTATGGTAACCTTTTTACAGCTTGCCAAGGGACGGTGTGGTGGTTGAACTGTATTCTGCTGAATTTAGCATGGCTTGTCGCCGTGGTTCGGAGGGTAAACTACAAACACCACCTTCACCACATCGCCTGTGCATCATTTATTTACAGTTTATTCGTAAATGAAATCATAATACTGAAGATTGTCGTTCAATACATTTCTTCTACAATTTCCTACAATAAAAATTAATATTTTTACGAATCATGAACATACTACATGTACTTGAATTTCAATTGGAATCGGACTGAAGATTAGATAAAGAGTTTATATGTGTGTGTTTTTTTATCAAAATGTTTCAAATATGGAGTACATGTATGTAACGACATAAAGGGCCATAAGAGTCGATAAAACACGTTTACCATGTCTGCAGACGACTTATAAATCACTTTACATAAAGTAGTCTATATAGACGAGTAATAATATCTTGTCGGATTTACTTGTGTATTACACCGTGTGATGCTTAATTTGTCTGTCAAAATTATTATGATTTTACGTTGATTGGAATTTTACATTACAATATAGCTACACTTTATATCATGGTGCGACAGGTTTACTACGAGTACATTAAATAAAATGCGCACGAATAATTATTGGAATTAATTTGGCTAGGTCATGTCTTATTTTACGTTGAATGTACGTATTCACAATGGTTAAAAGTCTCTGTAATGGTCGTTATTTAGCAGGCTTTCATCTTTTCATGGCTTCCAGTCAAGATTATTTCCGCCAATCTAATCTACTATATTTCTCTATCAGACAACTTATTATCTTTTTTATTTGTGAGTAATTTTCGGCGAGGAGTACCAATAGCTCTTAAAGTTGAGAGATTTATTTAGATATATAATTTGATTGGTAAGAATTCCTTCGTAGTTAACTGATACAAAATTCTTTGGATCTCAGTAATTAGAGGATACACAGAGAATGCTTATTTTCTTCTGTTTTGTTTGAATGAAATGTAATATGGGGATATGTATCGATTAGAATGAACAATACTAAAACGTTGACAGATCACCTAACATAGTAACTGTTACCTGTTAAATTTTGATATCTGGCTTTAAAATAGGCAGGTCGAAACATTGGCATGTCAATTACCCTACTGTGATATTTTCTCAAACATTTATATGATGCACGTTGACTTTTTCAATTTTACTTTGTTTTGAAAACTTGCAAACTATTGTATTGGCATATGACCCCATATTGCCCCATGACCGCTTTTAATTTTATTTTTCAAAAAAAATATTTTGTGTCCTATTATAGTTTTCCAAAATATACTTATCGGACATTTACATAAACCACTGTTTGTTTCTGTTGCACTTTGGCAATAAGTACAGTTATAGCGAATTAGTATTTTGTATGGATCTTTTTTATGACTTTGAAAAACGTTTAACTTATGCCATCGGCTAAACTTAGTAGAAAATGTAGCACTTCTAGATAAACTTTGTAAAATATTTGAAGTCATAAACAATAAAAAACACACAATTAACATGCATTCCTGCTTTTCAAAATATGCTCAGCTTACTTTGATTAAATCGTTCAATCAAACAAAGTGCTTGGTAACATGTTACATTTCTCTCTACAAATACAAATTGCAGATAACAATCGCAATCATGTTTGAATTAAATGAGCTTTAAACACACAACAATTGCGTATTGAATCAGAATGAGTAGGTTGAATTACATACAAGGTTGTCATAGATATTTTGTTTGCATCATTGACTTATTTTGTTGTTATCAAATTTCTGATCCAGTTTAAAAATAATTTTATCGATGCATCAACCGCCCAGTTGATGCATTAAGTAATATTGAAAATAACAACAACATTTATTTAGCATAGTGGAAATAGTTTTAGGCACTACAAACGATATTCCCTCATACCTTTGACATTCAAGGAAAAGCTGTTACACCATTTTTTTCGTTTTTCGTCAACATGCTGCCTATACTACGTGAAATTCTATGACCGAGGCGGGACTAAACAATTAGTAATAGTTATTTCCTTACTAGAATTTTTAAATATTTCACTTTTTTAATTGGAGGATGTCTAGAGCCCCCTCATTACAGTGAGTAACACGTGCATAGTATGCTCTAGGAAAATAATCAGTACATGTGTATTAAACCGCGTGTTTGTCAGATATTTAGGCGGACTCACATTACGAAAACAGTATTAATTATTTTCCAAGAAAGAGTTTTTTATATGGGTTCCTCACTAAAATGAGTAGGCGATACAATTTATGTCATACAAGTAATGAATAATTGAAGAAAATATTGCAGAAAATAAAATCTGGACCGTCTTTATATTGAGTTATTGTTTCTGCCCCTCGTATATCTGTCCCTTGCCAATAGATATAGGCCTCATGGTCAACTGCCACGGGAAACAATACTTAAATGTTTTTTATACTGAAGCCGTAGATCTATCTTCAGTACCCATATATACATAATATACAATTGCTGATTTTTAAAAATACAATTTTTTTACTATATGTAATGTTTTTAACATAATTATATATATTGTTTTATTGTACGAACATTATTATTGTATAAACATTATTATAATAAATACTTGTAACATAATTAAATGATTATATTAAATGTTATTACATGTTAGATATTAAATGTAATGCTATTTACATAAACATATCTAATATTATCAACATACGTAATTATATATAATACCTCCATATTTATGATAATTTTCATGAAAATTTCGAAAATGTATAAGCATTTAAAATATTGTCCAGTGAACAAATAAAGTAGTTTACACGTTGTAAACGGCACTTACATTCCATGTCATTACCAAATTAAATTTGTCAGAATATGCGTAAATAGCACTTAGTGCGTTAGTCACGCATTAGAAATATGGTGTAAAACACTGCAAAATCAGCCATTTATTGCATATAACATGCAAATCATTACTTTAAATTGTAATTTATTTTTTACTTTTTCGTATATTTTTCTCAAAGTTGATTTTCTTTTAAAAAAAACCCGTTCATCTGGAGGCATGATGCTTTAACATGTTTTCAATTTCAGAATTTCGTACATGTACATATCTCTACTGAATATTTTTTATGACATTACAAAAACGTTCAATAAATATATTTTTCAGGTTCAAAGACCGCGTTAGAAAGTCTGTGCTCTTTGGTCAACCGAGAAAAGTTCTTTAACGTTTGACCGAAATATTTCAAAGCAAAGCTGCCATTCACTTGGAGGAATCATTCCAGGTATGAACATATAATATAAAGTAGGAAACCTTTAAACAAGTATATAAAATACAAGTGCGCTTACCTTGATATCACAGTATTAGATAATGACACTGCTCTTTCTGGTTTGTATCTTTGAAAATTGACGCAATAAAGCACGCCCCACAGTTTTTGTTCTAACAACGATTTTAAATTGTATGAAGCTGTGATTCAGATTTGTTTCCGGATTTATAATCGATCATTATTTTGTGGATATTTCCTGTCTTATCTTTAGCACCATTTTATTCTGTGCGTTCGTGTGTTATGGCAGATTTTTGAGAACTGGAATGTACAGTTTTATAGTGCAAAAGCAGTTGTTAGACCATTTTTTTCTCTCAAGACAATCCGAAAGCCGAACAATATATATACAGTATATATATATATTTATATGTATGTGTATGGTAAATACAGATTACAATTATTTTAACAACATAATTTACGTCAAAGTGATTGATAGATATAATGAAAATGTTCTTAACTTCTTGTACATGTAATGGATATGTATACATCAATGCAATTATAATATTATTCGAAACACATGTGCGTGTTAGAAGCTTATAACTCACACTTTTTTAGAAACAAGGCAATCCATTTTTTTTCAACATCCAGTTTTCAACACTTTACTCAAATTTTTCTGCATACACCAACATTTCAAAAGCATAAAAATAGTACACTGCAAACCTGTATCTCTTGATTAATACAACAAGAGCGACATTCATTTTCAAAACGATATTGATCAGTTAACCACTAAATTAAAACAAATAAATTCATTCCTTTTTATGCATTGCAATGTACTTCCTTTGTTTATTTGATTAATACACCCCTTACTGCATTACATTTATTTTTAATCACCACCACCACCACCACAAAAAAAAAGAAAGAAAAATATGACCAATAAAAAAACCCATTCAATCAATTGCCTTTTATCAAACTTTGAATTTAAATGAAATTAAATCACAGATTTAATGGATGCATCTGAATGTTGAATTTATTTTGTTTTAATTTCAAATGTCAACCATCGATTACATTAGCATTATACGGGTTTTTAAGCATGTCCTCTAAATGGTTATCTTTAGGTTCCATTTGTTCAAGTTCAATTTTTTAAAAGACTGCAAAGAATGTATCACTTAACGTGAGGATGAGTGTGTTAAGTGGCACAACACGAATGATAAGGGATATGGGAGGGATTACAAAAATCAATAGAACACGCTTAGAAACTAGTGTATTTAAAGTGACTTTATGCTCTTTTTTTCTCTCTCTCAGCAGAATTGACTTTATATTTCAAAAGATTGACTATTATAATGGTTATTCACCAATAATTGATTCTTGATGTTATTATATTAGAACTGTCGAAAATGTAAAAAATGACTGTCCCACTCTTTTTTTCATGAAACATCACCAATTTAATCCGAACGATATATTTAGATATTTTCGTGAGTCATAGGTTATCAAATATATACATGTGAAGTAAAATATCAAATTGAAAACAATATTGACAAAATTCGAAGTTATTTCGACTATTACCTGAACATTTACTATTTACACTTAATTGGGTTAAACAGCGTATATATGTTGCACACATTTTCTAAAAGTAGGATTTTGTAAAATCCAAATAAAATTTAGGAATTTTGTAAAATGACTTGGTATTTTAGTCATGTTATATTATGTATTACGTTATATTTCAGGAATATTACATAATGCCAGTATATATCAGCAGATATTTTGTAAAATAATTACATGAATAAGTAAAACGGTTCATATTGTAACATACCCTGGAATGCAATAAAGTGCTTTTTTGTCATACGCACTTTTTACAAATTATAAAAAAAATTGCCAAACACATAAAAAAATACGTCTTTTTATTTCATACAAATAATGGTAATGCACAATTTATTACTTTATTACGATACGCAATATTTCAAGGTAATTTATTGCAGCCAGTCATTAAACTCTTTCATAAAAACTATTTTAAGCTTGTGATTAAATTAAGTGAGACGTAAAACATGTTTTGGTAAATAATATATTCATAAACAACAGCAATTATATGCATGACATACTGTTATATCACATTTTGTAATTCGAGAAGATAATTATACCAGTACAAAAATAGCTAAAGTCATAGGTACATGTGGCCTTGCGTAAAATAAAAACATGTTTATAATATTATAAACCTTCCTTGATGCTTCCACATTATGTGGTAAAGGTCCAAATAACTCATCATTTCCAAAATGCACCACGGATAATTTAATTGCTTAACGACATAGCACTTTAATTTATTGAACGCGACCATTCTGGTATCAATCACACAAGTTGAGTTAAATAATGAATAATATTATGGCATAAAAAGACTATATAATATTTTTGACGAACTTTTTATTTCCTTTTTGTATCTGCATTAATAAGGTAAAATGAATATTTACCATCTCGGACCATGCAATAAAAAGATGAAGAGAAAAAATATTCTCATATGTCTTTATGTCTTTCATTGTGATAATGAAATGATTTGTAGACGAAGTGTATGAATAATAATAATACTACTTATACTACTACTACTACTGCTACTACTGATAATGATAATGATAATAAAAATTAAACACAAACACACGAACGTATCGTATAAAAACAAAGCAACTAGACATAATAAGTAGTGGTTTTATATAAACCCTCTTGACATATTGATCCAAATTTGGACATCATCAGGCTGAGCTTCTGTGATATTTGCTTGATGACTGAATGATTTTCTGTACAATTCTTCCCTTTTCGTAGTGACTTTTCTTTTTCGATGTTTGGTGAAATAAAATAATTAACAATGTGGCTGCGTCTGAGCAAATACTTATACGTACAAATAGAGTAAGCATAGCACAGACTTGGCCTTCTGCTGATATAACTTCTATTCCGCAGACAAATTAGACGCTATATCACAGATAGAAATGTCATATATAATTTCTTATCATATTTACCCAACGGGTTTACTGGACAGAAACGTATCTGCCGTGATCAACTTTATTACATTATTTATTGTAGCCTCCAATAAGACATGTCTCAAATTCAAAAAGATTGCATGCACTTTGGAGAAATTCATTTATTTCGGCTGAACATTTGAAAGAACACGAATTCATTGCATTAGATAGGAAACTTTATTTATTTATTTTGCATCAACTTATTTTAAATTAGTTATTTGCATTCACTTAAGATTGCGATAAGAAAGAAATAGAAAATAACAGGTTGCCTAGCAACGTCAAAACTTTAAAGTTTACAAAAAAAAGAAAAACGTGCCATCAAACAAGACATAAGGTGTAATATCTATATCGTGAACATATTTACATATCTAAAGCATTGTTCGGAATCTAATTATATATAATTCAAATTAAAGATTTTAAGAATACTTATATTTAACATTCGTACTTATATACATATATGACAATTTATCGATTTCATTTTCACGAGTTTGATACAAAATGTGTCGTATTGTCATTGAAAAAGTTTTATCAGATGGCATTTTATTACTATTTAGGTGAACATTTATCTGAAGTGTGTAAGGCTTTTGATAATACATATAAAGGTTGCCGTCATGGTTGTAATAATATTTGTGAAGGTGACAGTGTGAACTGTACATATCTTTGCATGTTTTTCTTGTTTGTTTTTTTCTTTGATAGTTGCATGCATGTTTGTATGAAAGGTTGCACAATTTATTTAATGGCTTCATTGTCATGGCTTATGTGGATGTTTCTAAATTCAAAATGTCACCTTTGTCGTGTTTAAATGTTGAACACTGCTTAAGCCGGTGCTAGGGGGCGTGGGTGGTAACTTGCACTGTCCATTACCTTCCATCAAAAAGGCTCAATCAAACTTAGCCTGAAACAACTTTCAAAAAAATAAATAGGAAACAACAACAAAAAGCATTTTAATTTTGATATGCCAAAGCATTGTTATACAAATCCGTATATCATGGTATTGTTTAAATTTGAATTTGTCTGCACAAGGTTCAATTTTCTACACTTGTTTACCGACTCCCTTCATCCGGGGAATACACAGACATTACATTCTATGATTGGAGTGCTGCTATTTGATGGAAATGTAATTTTGATCAAGCATTTTGATAGAACAAAAATCCCTTAGGAATTTCATATAGATAGTAGACAAGGCGATAGTGATTTACATTAAGTCTAGTATGAAAAAAGGTTCATATATATAAATTATTATATTTTTATCCATTCAATGTTTTCATCAGTCGTCGACTTTAATGTAGAAAAGCAATCATATCAAAAAGATAAAACGATTTTATATAAAGGTCATGTTTATGTTTTATAAAAATGCATAAAAAATAATTTAAGTTTGAAAAGCTTCATAACTTTATAATATGTACGATCATATTTAACTTTTAACATATCTGAAAGATTCAAAAGCTTACACAAACCAAAGGTTGTTTACCCAATGTTTATCTTTTCGTCTATAAACTTATTCCAAAAGATGATATATATGGAACGAAACAAATATTGACATTTTAAGACCCCACTGAGCCGAAGCAAACTGTTCCAGATATTAAATTATGATAAACAAGATCGACAAGGAAAGGCGGCATTCAATGAACGCAGCCCCACATTCATATGAGATCAGCTGTAAAAAGTTTTGTTTTCCAATCTTCTTATTTTCTATGAAGATAAGAGTCAGCTGTTTCTAGTAGGGATTTATCGCAAATTATCCTCTTTGAAAAACTGTAATAGCATTTTATCAGGGCGACATAGCAATGTGCATGTAAAACTGTAGGAGTTTTGCATAAAACCATTCCGTTAATCGCCTTATGCTTATAGAAATAAAGAGTTGCGCATTTTGAAATAACTAGTAATAAGCCATCTTAATATCTGGTACCGAGTACTTAAACATTGAATTTATTGATCGGACACTTGGGTGAATCTCTTCTTTGTTTATTTTCGAGTCCAGCACTTATAAGTGTTGAACATTGAGAACCGCTCAAGCCGGTG